GTTAGCAATACTTCGTCATGACCATAAAGGATAAAAATGGCAAATAATGAACGAAAAAAAAAAGAGAAACTAATAATAATAATAATAATAATAATAGTAATATACACGAATAAACTATATCGCGGATAAACTTATATTCATTCTTAAGTTGGTGACGCGTACACGCGTGACGGGTGATCCTCGCTCGTTCTCAAAGAAGAAGAAAAAAAGAAGGTGATGAGGGACAAAATTGTAGAAAGAAACGTACGAACTGAAACAAACTGAAACAAATTTCAGTCGCGTATCTTCAACGCTGAAAATGCTGATTTCTTGCAAGCGAAACAAAATGGTAGCTGCTTCGTTACGCCCCAAGATTAACGTTAAACGCGTGTAAAACAGATTATACCGGACAGATTATAATCGGTTGAGATATCCATGCAAATAATTGTTTAATTAGAAAAATTAAAGTAAAACGTGCAATATAAAAAATATAGACGTACACGTTTCAAAAATAATAGACAAAATTGGTATTTTGTTGGATAGATTGTACATTACATAGACAGGGCGATGCTGCTTTCAAACGAGTGCAAGAAACGAGCGTTTCATCGACGACGTACTATTCTTTATTTTTTATTTTTTATTTTTCGATCTTAGCAAGCTTTGCTTTCTAAAGTTGTAGGAGATTAAACGAGTTTTATGAATGAAACGCGACATAATTGGATGGAAAACACGAGGACAAATGTGCACTCAATGTGGCTATTGTTTAACAAATATTTTCTATATTTTCTTTATTCTTTCGATACATTGGTTGATAAGACATAGACAAATAAACGAGCGTTAAATAGACGCATTGGGCGCTTCATACATTGCTAAGTATCATCAGTTGTTAGTTAGACGGAGAATTGGACGTCGAGCGGAGAAAAAACGTGGCAAGATAGAGAAAAAGAAAAAGAAATAAAATACAAGAGAACATAAGCATCAGCTCAAAGAACGTAAAATATAATGAGATTCGTATATAGATTTTAGGGATGGCGGCGCGCAAGATCATAGATGGGCAAAAATGAGAAAACGTAGAGAGCATCCACAGTCAGAAGACAGTCATAATTAAATGTACAAGTTTTCGCAATTAGGATGAAAGGCGTGTCGAAAGGATTTTAGGTTCCTGAAAATGATCATATTGCGCCCTTAACTTTTATAATTAATACTAATTCGTTTATTTAAACGTATACAATTTTATTATGATATATATCATGGAGGAATGTGATAATTGTTATTATCTTTGATTGTTATAAGTATTTTAGAATTTTTAAATTTATTTTAAACGTAATTTTAATCTTTACTTATTTTTATACGTTTTGAAATTCTTCTTTTATCGAGTGAATCAATCAATACATTGGCAGGAACCTGAGCAACTTTCAACGAGAATCCTCTAAAAAGAGAATTATATATAAATATATAAATATATACATATTCAAAAGAGATCTACGATCAATTATTAATTAGAGCAAAGAAAACAAACAAAAATGCGATCGATATACAAGCAAATTAATATGCGAAAGAGAATAAAGAGAAAACATAAAAGAGAAGATAAGGATGTCGCGAGACATAAAATAGAGAAGACAAGCGTAGGGGATGAAAACAAAAGCGAAACAAGAGCAAAATATATATGTGAAGTACAGTCTCTACGCGTTTATATTTATAAATATGAAATACATTAATATTGAAATATTACGTCTATATCTACATTTAGTATATATATAAATATATATATAAATATAAATATAAATATATATATAAATATATAAATATACATATATTGAATGATTAAGAAAGGCAAGAAATATATTATGACTATATATATATGATAACTGATTAAGGCGACAAACAGACAAAATAAAAAATATGAGGATTATGGAAAATGAACAGATATATTGAAACATTGTTTTATGCATTTGTATATATATATAGTTATTGATGTTTTAAAAGCTAATATACATTATTGTACTGAACAATTTTTCGATTATCATCACCGATGATCGTGGGAGGAGAGCCGAGCGGGGGTGCAAAAGGGGTGGGTGAGGGTAGGACAGGGGTTGGGAGTTAGATGCAAAGAAAGACACGAAAAAAAAGAATAGGAAGATAGAAAAAGGAAAAAAAAATACGAGGGAGGCGAGCTCGTTGTGCGATGCAGTCCAGTCTTCTCTTGTTTTGCAATACTCTTTCGTTTTTTTTTTTTTTTTTTTTTTT